AAACAATTAAAAAAATAAGATAAAAAAGAGATTAATAAGAAACCACTAGGAAACTTACGGTATAGCGCTCCATTGGAAAGATTAAAACTCAATTGCAGTAATTCTGCAGAAAGTTTGGCAGATTGTCGAAATCCCCAACAATGTAGGGTTTATGGAGCCCAAAAAGGAAAGGTCATAAGGAAGAAGAGGCGGGAAATATATTAATAACAAAAGAAAAAAAATATATATCAAAACTCAATGACCTTCGTACATTTTTTTTTTAAATGAGTTCATAGTAATTTTCTGCTAACCAAGATATAATCAATGGTGAAAACTTGTGTCAACTTAAGTGGATAGGAAATAGTTGTCCACCAAACTTTTTATCCATGAATCTTGCTTAGGGATCCTTGCGTGATATGAAGAGACTTTTTATATTAATAAATGAGTGGTTAAAAAGTTTGGTGGACAACTATTCCCTATCCACTTAAGTTGATAGGAGTCTTGCTCATCAATCAATAGTTAATCTCTTTTTTATTTTGGATAGACGATAATAGTTTAAAACTTAGGCTCCATTTGGCAAAGGGTTAAGGAAGAGGGGTTAAAAAGAAAGATTAATGTACTTAGCTCATTCGATAATCTGAATGACTAAATTATTAACCCGTTAAATAAGTTTTATTTTAGTCCTTGTGATCAGTTTTAGTGTTTGGAAATAACAATGATTTTGACTATTTTCTTTATAATTAGAAGGGTTAACTCTTAATCCTTCTAAATAGGAGTATTAGTAAACCCCTCATTTTGAGGGGTTAACTCATTTTAATCCCTCTAGAGGGGTTAGCTTAACTCTTCTATATTTTTTATGTTTGACAAATTATGAAGGGTTAACTTAATCCCTCTAGAGGGGTTAGCTTAACTCTTCTATATTTTTTATGTTTGACAAATTATGAAGGGTTAACTCACTTTAACCCTTGTATAGAATTTTTTATGTTGCCGGATTAAAAAGGGATTAAGTCTCCTTAACCCCTCACTTAACCCTTTACCAAACGGTACCAAAAGTATTAACTTATAAGTCGCTTTGTACTCAAACGTAACTATTATTTTATGAATTTAACATATTTTATTTCTAATATTTTAAGATATAAAGTTGAAAGTGAATGAAAATGCAGGAGGGATTATTTTCCTGGTCGGTGTAGTCTTTAAGCTATAGTTTTTCAAAGGAGAGAAAAAGACCTTTTTTTAATTTTATTAACAAAATTAACATTTTTATCTAATCGATCTTTTGTTTGTCACGCCAATACTAGTAGTCCCATGTATTTTAATAATCGTATTTTATAAAATCAACTTCTTTTTAGCCAGTGGTAATGAGGTGGCTAAAAAGAGATCGATTTTGTTAATTAAATAAAAAATAATCAATTTGGCTAATAAAACTTAAGAAAGGGTCCTTTTTAAAATTTCTCTTTTTCCAATATCTATATGTTTGGTAATATCAAATAAGCTAGATTTTAAGTCATATTTAAAAAGGTTAGAGTTCTCCAATTTTAAAAAATAATAGCTCATAAGCTCATCTAAATAAACTAGGTTTAATCAAGCAAATGACTTTTATATCCCTATAACTTCTACTAAAAAATTATCATAAAAACTACAAGCTAGTATAATCTTTTATGACACCCAGCGCAGAATTGAACCGAAGATCATGGGAGCCATATTAAAACCGTCCAACCGTCTAGATCACTTGTAATGGATTAAAAACTAGTACAAGTTGTAAGCTTTAAAAAACCCTCCAACCATCTAATCTCACATGGAAAGAAAAGTCAGATCATATCTGGTTAGTTCGTCAATTTAGGATTGTTTGTGTCATTTTGGTTCCAAATTTATTACTCTGGTGTAGATGTTTTAAATTTTTAATGTACTTTTGCAGTCCATTTTACAAGTATTCCATAGATTCATTTTAATATACTAGTAAAGTGCATGTGCGTTGCACGTGAGTATACTTGTTCAGTATTAAAAATTTTGAATGTGGACCGTAAAATGATGAAGTGAACCGATGATTTAGATTTTACCAATATTCATGTAATTAAGCTGGTTTAGATATTACCAATATTCATGAAACCCATATAAAGAACGTAATAAGAGATTTATGTGCTAGAATTCTTAGATAATTAGATTGATCAATAGCTGGAAGACCTAAACTTATAGGATAATGAGACAAAAAAAGGAACCAATTCATATCATATTTCAAATTTAATTACCTTATCAAAGTCTATATTAATCATCAGCATTTAAAGCTGAAACAAAACATATAGACATAGAGGGTCAAATTTACTAAATAGCAGATACCCGACGTGGATTAATAAAGTGAAAAATTATAACCCTATGCATGAACAAACTAATTTTGTAAACACTATAGAAATATTAAAAGATGATCTAATATTAGAGATGGGAGACACATCTTTGCTCAATTTACACTAAGGTTCAAGCTATTTAAGGAAATACTAATTAATAACAGCTTTCCCAAATAAATTTCTTAAACTTAAAACTAAAATTGTCATGTTTGAATGATGGAGATATATCATGCGAAGGGACTTGTCACTTGTTAAAGTTTCATGACAATTACAAGAGAGACTGATTATGTCATTCATATGCATTTTATCAATCTCTAGTTCACAAGTTGGCACTAAATCATTGCCATAGCATATCCATAGAAATCTATTCCATCTTTAATGTCATCTCAAGCACTTCGTTTTTTAGAAATATAAGTCAGATGGTTGGAAGGAGAGGAAGAGAGAAATAAATGAAAAAATTGTACCATATAAAATGAGTAATTTATTAGAAGGTAAAAAGTCAAAGCTTAAGAAGATATCATTTTAGTAATTAGGGTTTATTTATAATAAAAATATAACATTTATTTTGAATGCATGTAAATATGTTGGTTGTAGTATTTATTTAATGTTTTTTGTCTGAAATCATGGTAAGAGAGTTTATTTTGTACTTTTCATTGTAACATCTAAAGGATAATACAACTAGCCTAATGCATTCCTAATCGTGCCCCTACTTCATGATATTAACATCATAGATTTTTTTGATACAATGTGTTTTCAAATTATATTGTGAAATACATTTAGGGGGTTGGATTTTAAAAATATTTAATCTAATGAGATTTTAAGATATATTTGCTCATTTTAGTCTTTTTATAATACATTTTGAAATTTGAGTGATCCCAATGTCTTCAAAAAGAAAACTAATCACCAAATTGATTGTACCAATTTAAATTATACTAAATTGACTCATTTCTACAATAATAAAGTTTTCAAACATATTTTCAAAATTATAATTGAATTACAGAGGAACATACCATGCTAACACGTGCTTGAGCAAATTTGATCCTCGAAAGAAGTCGACATCTTGTGCTCTGTTAAATTTTCTGTTCTAATTCAAGTGGAGTTCTAGTTGAGCTTTTCTTTTGTAATTGTATGGTTTTGACTTAGTAGGTATTATGGTGAGTGGAAGAAAATGTTAGACCCTAGAGGGGGGTGATTAGGGTCTTATGCTAATCTAATCCGATTTTATGCCAATTAAAACTAATTAATAAGTTATCCTAGCAAGTATGAAATACAACAAGATACATGAGCTAGGATAAGCAATATGAACTAATGAATATATCCTAGCAATGAGATATTACAAATATATGAGCAAGGATATATAAACAACACAAGGGTAAATAATGTAAACAAAGAAGTGGACAAACTAACTAATGAGACAATGGCGATATGAGCAATGAGCACAAATATAAATGAACGCCAAAGTACACACAAACACAATCAAATGATGACGGAGCTCGGACCTTCCGTCCTACGTCTCCGCTCCCCACTCCCGGGGAGAAATCCACTAACACAACCGGGTTTTCTACGCTTACCCGAACAACGTTTACACCTCACACTCGGTTTTCTAGCTAACCGAAAACTTTACAATCAACACTCTTGCAATCCCACTTTACACCCTCTCAAGTGTTGGACCTAGACGTATCTCCCTCAAGTGCTCGGATACAACATCTCCCAAGGTTCTTCAACCGACGCCACTCCTCTTGGGACGATCCCCGACTTACACCACACACTTCTCTCGGTGTACAAGTGTATTACAAAGTGAATCTCACAATAAGCACAATACAACAAATGATTATTCTCTAATATGGATGAGAACATAATGTAAACTCACACTCAATTGTTACAACTCTCACCAACCCAAATATACTATGTATGAAAATACGATAAGCTCATGTGGGTGTGTGTAACAATGAGAATAAATAAAACTTAACTCAAGTAGAACTAGCAATAAGATTGATATGAAATACAATAGTAAAAATGCTTGGAAATAGAGTTAAGGAAACTTCTCTATAAACACAAAGAGATGATGATGAAATATTAAAGATGAACTCTTCAACAACTGATGTAAGCTCCTCTTTGAAAAACCCCAAACATAAAACAAACTAACCAAGCTTAAACCCTTATTAAACTTTTGTTTTAAAAACTTCTTAGATCCCATAAGAACTGAGATCAATGAGGTATTTATAGCCTCCCAAAACCTCAGCCAAAAGCCTAACAGAAATGACCAAAAAACCAACAGAATCGGAAATCAGATTCTGTACAAAATGACCGTTGGAGTAAACGACGGTCGACCGCGAGCCACTTTCGAGGCTCGGAAAATTTCCAGAGACTTTTACGCGGTCGACGGTGATAATCGACCGTAGGAATTTTCGAGCTGACGGTCGACCATGGTGGTCGACAGTGAAAGTTTCTGCAGCCCACTCAGCAAAAAACACAAGCGCGGTCGACCGTGGCGGTCGATCGCAAACTGACATAAGAAAATAACAGTTTAGACACAGTTTGATGATTTTGAAACCCCTTTTTAAAAATATCAAATAAATTCTAAAAATGTAAAACTTTAGGAAATGATTGTAGACATAATAATACACATGCTATAAAAATTAGTTTTCAGAAAAGACCTCCCAAATAAAAAATATCATTATTTTGCAAAATAGTCCAAAACATGAAAATGTGAACATATGAGTTTTGACATTTTAGCTTAACCATGTTTTAAAACAATACAAAATAATTTTATAGACTTGAAGAAAGATATAAACTATTGTTATGAAGTCTATAAACAATGAATATAGTATTTTATTAAAATACACATATAATGCACTAAAACATGATTTCATTGAACT